TCATAATCACCTCCTTCATACAAAAACATAACCTGCTGATTTTGAACCTTGGTGTTCATAGATACCAGATTCCCAACTGACCTGGTCTCTATGCTTTGTCCAGCAAAATAATTGCAAAAAGAAAGGTATCTAAGAATAGTTAACAGCAGTGGAACACGTGAACTTGGTGTAGGTGTGTTTGATCCCACTATAAGAGTTGCAATGAACAGTACTTTCTTATCTGAACTGCATGAATTTTATCAGAATGCACTCTTCCTGGGCTAGCACATATTTACTAATCTCGCTTTTGCCTTTCATTGCCCTCCACACTTACAGTCACTGCATTAATACAACACCACCACTGAGGAATGAACCCGTCATATACCATTGAGAAATGAGAATATCTCCTTATTCAATAAGAAAACAAACCTGGATGATAAAACTGTAAATAAAACAAGGGGCTGAAGAAGCCATGACAGCTACATTTACTATTACTCAACTCTATGAGGAAGAGCAACCAACCTATTTCAGGTTTGCCAATTATTTTCCTTAAGAATGAAGATTAGACAAAACCACGGGTCTATTCCCAGCTGAAGCACTGGCTTGGGCCCCTTGTTCACTCTCAGGAAAGCTAAAAATAAGGCCAACATCCCAAAAATATAATGGTAATCATGTTTGGGTATGTAGGGACGGTTAGAATACTTAAAACAAGTATCTTTACATGGATGGGGAAGCATACCTCTTGGTAACAGGTTTTTCTACCTCTAATTACCATGCCTGCTTTACTACGGATGTGAGTAAGCTCTAAGTGGAATGACAACAGCAAGAGCAACGCGCAGAAGCAGTTACACTGCAGGCAGCACACCATGCTGCGGACTGGGAGAAGTGCTGGTGCTCTCTGTGAGGTCTTGAACTTCCATGCAGGCAGGAGTGCTCCTGCAGGCCTCAGCTCTGCAATGTGAGCTGGCATGGGGCATGCCACAGCACATGGTGCGTGCACCCAGCACCCCAACTGCCGACCCTTGGCCGTGCCACCCAGCAGGGTGTCACAGGGATGCCTGTGGCCTGGCGGCACAGCAGTGCGCAGGAACAGCTCCTTTTGGGGAACTGAAAGGATTTTTCAGTACGTTCAGTGTTTCACTGTCGTCAATGGAGGGACGTGGGGAGGAAGACACTATGAAGTTAACTCAAAAACAGAAAAGTTTGGTTTTATATATTCAGCTTGAAAGTTCTTCACCCTGAGTAAGAACAGACGCATCTTTATGCCCTTAGATACTGAATTCCGGCCTACGAGCAGCCGGTGCCATGGCGGTGACGGAGACTCGCTGACGGAGGCTCGGCCCCGGCTCCCGCAGCGGCTCATCCCGCACCAAGGCCCGGCCCGCAGCAATCCGTGAAGCCGCACAGCCCTGACAGCGCCTCTCCGGCCGCCCTCCGCCCTTTCCCGGCCCTTCACGCCTCGGCCGGGGGTTGCGGCCGCCCAAGGTCACCGCGGGACTGAGTGCCGCGGCCCACCGCCCGCTCCCGTCCCCTCCGCTCGGCTCCGCACCGCGCCGCCCCCCGAGAGCCTTCTCTCCCCACCGCGCTCCGCGCGGCGGGCCCGCGAGCCCCTCCAAGGGCGCCCGCCACTGCCGGAGAAAGGCGCGTAGCGGTGCCCGCGGCGGCCCGGCCCAGTACTCACCGCCGCGGGGACGCGCTGCCTCAGCCCGCCGGCCCGGGCCTGGCCCATGTCCGAACGCGGCTGCCGAGGAGACGCTACGCGGCCATGGCTGCTGAAGCGGAACTCGGCGGCGATCTTCCCTCCTCCACTCCCTCCCTCCCTGCCGGTCCTCGCTCCCCCGCGGAGGCGGGGACTCTCCGCTGTCCTATCGGGGCTGCGAGGTGCGCTGTGGCCGCGGCCCTCCGCCCCGCCTGGCCCCGCGCTGCCCGGCCCGGGCCGCCCAGAGGCAGCTGAGGTCTGAGTGGCGGCCCGCGTCGGTGTGCGGGTGGAATGGGAGCGTGGGGGGCCGAGTGCACGCTGGAGAGCCTGTGCTTGTACACAGGGGAAAGAGGCAGTGGCCCTGGCACCGTCCTGCGCTGCAGTCCTCCGCAGAATGAAGCCTGCAAAAGACAGATCATCTCCTTTGGGAAAGTCAGGCGGCTGTGAAACCACCGTGACGGTGGAGAGGATGGGAAAGGTGATGCTGGGTCCACACTGGCTGCTGTCATAGAATCACAGAATGGCTTGGGTTGGAAAGGTCCCAAGGATCATCAAGTTCCGAGCCTCTGGCACAGGCAGGGCCACATACCTCCAGATCTGCTACCAGACCAGGCTGCACAGGGCCCCATCCTGCCTGGCCTTGAACACCCCCAGGGATGAAGCATCCACCTCTGTGGCAGCCTGTTCCAGCACCTCACCACTCTCTGTGAAGAACTTCACCCCGACATCCAATCTAAACCTTCCTTCCCAGAGCCTAAAATCATTCCTCCTGTCCTATCCCTGTCCTTTGTGTTTTGTTCAAAGGGACCTTTCATTTTATGAAGAAATTGTATTAAAAAATCCTTTGGTTCTGCATGTACGTAGGTCACCCCAAAAGTAGTGCCTCATATTTATGGAAACTATGGAAACTACAACATGTAAAAAGAGCACAACAGCTTCGCAGAGCAAATTCTCAGCTGCAAAACACTGTTTTTCAAGACAGCCACCACCATGAGCTGCATGTGCATTTTCACCAGCGCTGAATGAGAGCCTGCATGCCGCACTCGCAACAATTTGCACCAGCTGAGTCGATCCCCTGTCACTACCGCTGAAATGTACCACCCACTGCCTCATTGTGCTGACATGCTCTTTGTCAGACTGCCCCTCTGCTGCCACCTGTCGCACGATAGCAAAATGTAATGGAATATTGGCGGGAAGGTTCAACCTCCACATCTGCCTCTGCCATTGTGGGCCAACATCATAAAATAGGAGGCATTACTTTTGGAGCAGCCCTCTATGACACGTATGTATCCGGCCATACAGAGCAGGGGGAGGACCTGCCTTACAATTAGTGCACCCCATTCAGACACTTGTTAAAGCATGCTGACACCTCCATTGCGTTATAACCAGCTGTGGAGTTGCCTGAGGTTATAAGGCATTTTCCTACCAGCATGTTACTGTGTAGCAACAGTGAATAAATAACAGAATTTCGGCTGTAGGAATCAGTATGCTTTTTAATAGAACATATCAAACTACTTAGATAAATGCTTACTCTCCCATACACCTGGGTGACATAAAGCAGAACAAACCATGCACTTCTCAGATGTGAGCTGTGCTCTGATCTGCCAGCATCAGACATCTCTGCCTTAAATGTAATTTTGGTGAATTATAACAAAAATGTAACTTCTTCCTTCACTACTTCACTAAGTTGTGATCATGATAATGAAACTCATCTGGTGGTAATGGAACCATGACTACATGAAGAGTGAATTCTTGCCCTCAAGAGTTTCAGCAGCTCACAATGCTGTGCTCATCCACAGTACTGCAACAAGTGCCACCAATGCATGCCTGTGAGAACACAAAAATGCTCTCTGTGCAAGCTGCTGTGTGACGATGGCCTACAGTGTGCTGAGAGGTGCCTGCTGAGATATTAAATACATGTCCGTGATGGAAAAGAATGGTGAAGGCTGGCTCACAGCACCTGCATGAATGAGAAACACAGCAGCCCAGCAATGCCCAGCCTTGTTCTCCAGTGTCTCCTTATCTACCAACTGTGTTCAGTGAGTTGGGGCAGAAATAACGCTTTTGTAAAGGCTGGTGGAAATGAAGGGAATCCAGAAAGCGTAATTATCTCTAAAAATAACAAGGGGGGAATGCGCTGACTGATAGCACTTTCTGAAGGACATAGACTACAAGACTCATGCTTCACTGTAGCGCTTGCCTTCTGCTGCTCGCGCATTCCACACCTGGGTTGAGCCGAGCTCACAAGTGTCTCAGGGCACTACGTACAGCCTGCAGCGCAACGCTGGGGCTCGAGGCCAGGGCCGCCCGACTGCGGGCTCAGCAGAGCCGTCACGCAGGCAAAACACCCCTTCCGTCCCCCAGCCAGGCTCCGGGCACGGCAGCCCTAAAGGCTCAGGGGAGGAATGCCGAGCACTCTCGTAGCCCCGCCCCTCCCCAGCGCGGCGGGCCTCTTCGCGCGGCCACGGGCGGGCCCAGCCCCCGGCGGGCGGGAAGCGGCCGGAACATGGCGGCCCCTCCAGCCCGCGCTTCCCCCGCCTTTTCCCCGCGCCTCCGCGCATGCGCGGCACGCGGCGGCGAGGCCGTATCCCTCCGCCGAGCCCCTCCGGCCGCGGATTTTTGTGTAATAAGATAAATCCCGCGCCCCATGGTAAGTGCCGCGCGCTGCTCCCAGCGCCGCCTTGGGCTGCCCGCTCCCCCTCAGGCCGGAGCGCGGGGCTCGCGCTGGCGGCGGGGCGTCTAGACCGCGCCCCTCCCCTCCCTCCGCCGCCGTGTCCCTCCGCCGGGCGCAGCGGGGACTTTTGTGTGGGGCTTTTGGGCGCCGATGAGCGGCGGCTTCCCGCGCCCCTGCTTCTCGTCGCGGCAGCCGGGCCGGAGGCACGGTAAGGCCCCATCCCCGCGCCCCGTCTCTCCCCCACCCCCCCCCTGGCCGGCCGAGCTTTTCCAGGTCAGTCTGCGCCTTTGTATAGGGCCCTGTTACCGGATGTGGAAGTTGATCTCTTCGCTGGTAAAAAATAATTCCACTTCCCCCGGAACCCGGCGCCGCGGCTCCCTCCGCAGCGCCCAGCCCAGCCAGGATTTCCTGTTGGGGAGAGCGGGCGCGCTGGCCGGCCTTCCGGGGACCCCGCCGTGCGAGGGGCGCGGGCCGCGGCGGCGGGGCCTGGGCCGCGGCGGAGGCCTGGGCGGGTGGCGGAGGCCTGGGCGGGTGGCGGGCGGCGGGCGCGGCCCGCGGGGCCGGGGCGGCGCCGGGGTCGGGGGCCGCCGTGCGGCGGGAGGGCGGGAGGCAGAGCGGGGTGCCGGCGGCGGGGCCGATCTCGCGGGAGAGCCGAACGGGGCCCGGCCCGGTCCACTGCGCCTTGTGGGGCCTCGCGCGGGGCCGGGGCGCGGTTCTGTCGGCGCGGGGCCCCGCCGGGCCCGGCTCGGCGCCAACGCGCCCTGAGGGGAAGCGGCCCCGGTGGGGGGGGAGGAGGGAGCGGCTCCGCTCTGCGCTGCCCGCGGTCTGTCGCCCTCGCTTTGTGCTCCTAGTCGCATCTACGGTGGGAGCGCCGACGCGGAGGCGGCGTGTCGGCTCAGGACGCGGTGCCGCTTTTCCCTCCTTGCAGTCGGGCAGTTTGTGTTGCCGCTGCCGACGGGGTGTTGCTGAAATCCCCCGGAGGAGTTCTTTCGCTTTTAGAGTTAGTAACTCGTATCGGTTGCAGCGCCCTGCGGGGTCCCTAACACGTCTTTGAGCAAGGTGGCTTTGAGCTGTCCGCGAGTTTTGAAAACACTGGTGAGACCGAAGCGCTTTGGACGAGGCACATATGCTGTGAGGACACAGAAATGTGCAGTGTGCTTGGATCACACATGGCAGAATCTAACTGCGCCACGGCATTCTTCCTCCTGACCAAAGTTCGTTCCTGAAAGCAGTGTTTTCTGGGGTTTTTCTCAGCCTGCATACAAGAAATTGTTGAAATACCTCATAATAAAATGCTACTTTAATTAAAGAGACTGGTGACTCATTTCCAGGATATGTTTCCAGTTTCATTTAATCTGAGAGGGGTTCTCAGATTGTGTTTGTGTTATTGTTCCGAGGCTGCACGACAGACCCTGGGGTTCCTCGTGTCAGTCAGCTCTGCTGCATCCCAACTCCTGTTACTCAGTGCCAAACCTGTGTGATAGCTCTGCAGTGCCAGCCCAATCCGTGTGCCAGTGGTTCGCCCTTGTTGCATAATATTACTTCTGAGATGTTGCATTTGCAGACAAATCCACTCTCCTTTTTTAATGGCAAGGCTTCTTTACTATTTATGCTATTTAGTGGAGCTATGTTGACGATTGGTGCTACTTTCAGTTAATTCATGAACCTAAAGGAATACAGACTTTTGTGAAGGCAGGTGTGATTGTCTTGCCCATAAGCTATGCAGCCGAGTGTTAGCTTTTCTGATCTGCTCTCTGATTATTTTTTTTTCCTCTGGTGTTTACATAGTCCTACATAAAAGTGATAATTCTGTTTAAGTAAATGAGTGAGAATTTGGTTCTGAGCACAGTACAATCCAGAGAAAAGCTGAAAGTGCCAGAATTAAAACAGTTTGCTGTTAACTTATCAGTATAACTTTCATTATCTGTAAGTATGGGTACTTTAAGCCTGTGGTATTTATATTGAGATTTGAGCTGTGACATGTAGAGTCTTTGCCAAAATGCATCTGAAGGGGTATATGATTCTGTTAGGAACCACTGCAAAACGTCTTGAATTTATCCCACACGGGTCACCAGAACCACTATTAAATGGTATTATGTAAGATAGAATCCTGCTGACCCTCTGAAGAAACACCACCATATGGAGATGAGTGTAGGTTTAGCGCAGGCCTTTCAGTTCCCGCAGGAGTTACAAAACTATAATTGAAACAAGAAGTTGTGTTTGAAGAGTTGTTCAGAGTTGAAGTATTCTGCTCATCTGAAAAGAAAAAAAAAACAAAACAACCACCTCAGTCCTGTTAACTCTGATAGTGATCAAAATGTAGTTCTTGATTAAGGATTTAAACAGCACTATCTGTTTAAACTCTGTACTTGTAAGAAGTGTGTTGCTGTGGCAGGGGTAAGTGTAGAAAATTAACTAGAATTGCTGTTCTAAACTAACTGGATACTGTGCTGTGTTGAAATCAGTGGGCTAACAGCATTTCTGAAGACTGGGCCTGGGGAAGTGTCATGGGTATTTTTTTTTTCCCCTACCATTTCAAAAAAGCCATGCTGAAAGAGTGATCTTTTTTGGGACATAAGTGGATTATCAGAGCTGTGAGTCTTGAGCTGACTTCCCATGAAATCCTGCTGTGTGTCATTAAGGCAGGGGAACTTCTTTTCTTGTGTCTTCTAGGAGTTTGTTTGTTCTGGGGTTCTTGGAAACGGTTACAGATCGTTATCACACATTCAGTTCACACTGTTGCAGTTTATGCTGTTCTGGCACACCTGCGTCTCTTGTAGGAACATGCCTTGATAGCATTGTGTTGGCAGCTGCGTAGTCCTCCTGTCCACAGCTGTTCTGCAGCAGCTCTGGTTTGTGCCTGCTGGCTTTGACAAACGTGGGTGCAGTGGTGAAAGGGGGGTAAGAGCCAGATGTTGTCTTCTGAGAGTACCAGGCCCAAAGATGCTGCGGTGTTTTAAAGTCAAACTCAATCCCTCCACCTGCAGATTGCTGCTGTACCTGCAGGCGGTGCTGCGTACCCCTCTGAGAGGGCATTCCCTTTCAGACAGCATACCACTTGAGTATAAGATGGGGTCAGAAATGTCGTGGCACCTGACTAATGGCACTGCAGAACCTGTTTAGTTTTGAGATATGGAAGCTCTGATTTTTAGCGGGTTTTAATGAACTATATAGAGAAGTTTGCTTTTGATAGTGTCACTGTGCCACTGCAGTATCACAGAATGATCTCGGGGGCAGTCAGGCAGCGGAAGGATTTTTCTGGCAAAAAGAAATTCTGATTCTGCAAATCTTTCTTGGTAAGCACCAGTGCTATTGGTGAGAAAGCACTGGGGAAAGGAAGGGGTGTGTTAACCTGAGGGTTTGCTGCCCTCGCAGTGCTCGTCTCTGAGGGTCTGCCGAGTAGAAGTCAGCTTCGGCTGAACGCTCCTATTTGTTGGTAGGAAGTGTCTGAATATGTGCAAGTGTTGTGTTGGAAAGGCAGCAGTGTTCGCTGTTGTAGTGCAGTGTTGGCATAAAGGTGATTTGTACCGACTTCAGCAGCACAGAGCTGTTGGCTCCGTAGCTCTTCCACCAGGTGGCCCACGCGTGCTTCCAGGGACTCTGTGAGAAGTGAAGCTTCACTGCTGAATGCGCTTGTGACCTTGTAACTGAAGTTAAACTCTATGTCTTGAAAAATACGGGAGCTTGTGTGACGTTTTGTGCTTGTTTGAGATACGAACACTTCATAGCGACCAAAGAGCGTGTTGGTTAATGGCTGAGGCCGAGTGCTGGCGGGGGCTCGTCCTCCATGCTCAGCCCTGTGCTGCATGGGTGCTCTGCCTGCGGGGCTCAAGGGGGCCCGAGGGAGGGGTCAGTCTCCACATGTAATTCCTGAACTTCACTGTTTCTTTTAGACCAATGTTTAAAAGCGAAATTAAGTACAAGGAAAAGGAATTGTGTTTCTGAATCAGTTCCTAACTTCAGTGTTTTGGGTTAAGCTCTAGCTGGGCTTGGCATGGTATTAAATCACCTGAAAACATGTGCATGGGCATGTTCTTTTCCCCTCTGAAATGCATCATCCCTAATCCCTAAGAAGAGTGCTGGATAAAGGGAGGACTGTGCTCATTTATTTCACTGCTGCACTTGACAAATGCCTTCTGTGCTGCTGTTTCATAGTGTTACCCCACAGCATCCCTGTCCAACAGGAACAGTAGATTTTTCTCTTATTCCTGTTTCTCTTTTGCTTTTTCTTTCCTTGGAGGAGAGTAAGCTGCTATTTCTTACTGTGTCTGACCATGCTCCTTGCCTTCCTGCCCACTGTCAGTGTTTGTGCTGTCCTTGCTGACTTCCTGCTGCTCGTCCTTTGTCTGACTGGACAGGATTCTGTGTGCAAGCACAAATGGGGTGTTATCTTGGTGGAGGAGACTCTGATGCCAGCAGCAACTTCTGCTCCTCTTTGTGGCTCTGCTGACACGTTGAGGTTCTGCATTTGCATGTTTTTCCCCTTCCTGCTTTCTAGTTTCTTTTAAAATCAGCTTTCAGCTACATACCACACAGATTTTGCCAGTTGACCCAGGTGCAGAGAACTTTCTTAACACATTGGCTTTGTGACAGAAGCATAGGTTTAAGGAAAGAGATTAAGAAATGACCCTATTGGGATTTCTTTCTGAACTGTGTACTGTCAGTTTGTGCAGGAAATAGGCAGCACGGCCTCGCTGTTGTTAGTCACACGAGCTAACTCTTGTTTGGGACTGGAAAGTAATTGCTGAATGTGGTGGTGTTTTTGTCATCCTGGCAGTGGAAAGCATAGATATCAGGCCAAAAACTTAGTACTGTATTTTTTTTAAGTAGCGTGACTTAGGGTTTTGTTCTAAATTTTACTACTGAACATATTTAATAGCAAGCATGAAATAGAGTGGGTTTAAGTCTTCAGTGCAGTAGGAACGTAGCTAGGTGTCTTTTGTCAATGCATGCTTTTATATCTGTGTATTACATTGAACTTTCACTTGAACGTTGTCAAAAAGATGGCCTAAAGATGATGCAAAGGTTTTCCAGCTCATGTCTCAGTGCTTTTGAGGTTCAGGAACTGTGCTTGAATATTTTTTCAGTGACTGTAGACAGCTGATGTTATGTTTGTTTTCAGGCAGACATTTCAGTCTGGTGCAGATAGTGCAGAAACATGTCTATAGCTTCATGCTCGAGGTAGGAACTCAGATGCTATTTCAGGGTGAACAAAATGAAGTGATAGTGATGGGTAAGATGTCAGAAAGGTGCTGTGCTTTGTATTTATTGAAATGCCTTTGCCTAGTAGTACTTCTAATGTACATACAGATATTTCTGGATAAGGGATTGTAATGTCTTTGGATATATGGCATGGCAGCTCTGACAGTACCATTTGAAAGCTGGACAAAGCAGCAGAAGGCTGCAGTATCAGGTGAGAGCTTCTGAACCACTTCTTATTATAAGAAATGTGTGTCTATTTCAGTTAGCTAGGAAGCTGCTACAGTTACAGCATTGCAATCCTGAAATCTTCACCCCCAGCATCGCTTAGGTTTGACAGGAGTAACTCTGAGATCAGCCTGCTTCTTGCAATCAAGAAAGCTTGTTGTCAATGCCTAAAATTCCAGTTTTTCAGTTTTAGACTCCTAGGCTTGCAGAGTAATTAAGAAATAGTCATTAAAAGCGACAGCAATACCTGTATGCTTAAAATAGCCCTAATGTTATGTATTTTTTTTTTTTCTTTCTATTCCTTTATGTCCTTAACTAGATGTCACTAGTAGATTTGGGAAAGAAACTCCTAGAAGCTGCACGAGCGGGACAAGATGATGAGGTTCGAATTCTGATGGCCAATGGAGCACCTTTTACCACAGATTGGGTAATGGAAGCTTTTGCAGTGTTTGATCAATTCTATTACTTTTCTCACTCCCTAAACAACCCCGACAACTGGGTGGTTACATTTGAACTTTAATACTGCCAGCCTTGGGAGTTCCTTTTGGATTTTTTGCAGTGGCATTATCTGATGTCTAATTCAAAGTTAAATTTCTTTTCTTTCTGTGATTTAACCTCCTACTAATTTTTGTAACAGTCTGTGAATGGGTTCCTTGTGATGTCTATTAAGGTGAACTTCAGAATGGTTAATGGGAGAAGGCAGAAGTCATCCTCCTAGTTACTGTGTTTACACATTTAGAGCAATAAGAGTTCTGAATTAAGAGAGCAGTCCCAGGTACCTTGTACGCGTGCTGTGAGTTGTGTTTTGGAGATTTGTATGCTTCGAGTAATTATGTAGAGAGACTAAGTCTCTCTAAACTTAAAATTTTAGAGTATTTTGAACCCCTTAGAAGCCTTTATTTAGTCACCAACCTGTAAAGTTGAGCCTATTTTAAACAGGAGGTTGGAATTGAATGACTTCAAGAAATCCCTCCCACTGTTGGCTTGGTGTGGTATGATGTGTTGACCAGCAGTAAAAAATGAGGTTAGGTCTCTGGAAGCATCACAGCTGAAAAAAAAACAGGGGAAAAAAGTAAAATCAAAAAGTTGCTGCTAGTGATCTGTTTTTAGTGTATTCTGATTATTGAAAGCTATCTTAAACTTTTTTTTCCCTCTTTGTGAGGAAAATAATTTGAAATGGTGGCCTAACACTTGAGTTTGGTAGCTCCAGAAAAAGAAGTTCTTTGTACTGCCATCTGTTCAAGGTCTACTTTTTTTTTCCCCATGAAATTGCAGTTGGGAACATCTCCACTTCATCTGGCAGCACAGTATGGACACTACTCAACGACAGAGGTGCTGCTGCGTGCCGGTGTAAGTCGGGATGCCAGAACAAAAGTGGACAGAACGCCGTTACATATGGCAGCTTCAGAAGGCCATGCCAGCATAGTAGAAGTCTTACTTAAGGTAAAGACTGCTGAAGCAAGGACTGAGATAGGGATTTTACAATGGATTATGATAAAATATGTACAATTTTTTTTTTTAGTTCTGAAACTAATATCCAAATGATGTATTTATACTGTATGTATTTGGTGCTTTGTTTTTCTACTCAGCTGTGGTTTCAGGTATGTTATTTATTGCTGTTCCAAAAGATGACTCCTTCCTAATTTGGCTTTGAGTAAGTAAGAGCTTTTAGAACCAAGAGATGTTATGTTCTAGGGATCCTTTGAGATAAACAATTTGTGGTACTTAGATCGAAGTCCTTTTAAGAAGTCTGTTAGAATAAGGTAACAGGACATTACTACTGAGAGATGGGTTTGGGCTTCATTCCATAAGTGGTGTTATTTAGTTCATATACTTCTAATGACACAGTTCATGCAATGTTCTTGTTTGTAGCATGGTGCTGATGTCAATGCTAAGGACATGCTCAAGATGACTGCACTTCACTGGGCTACTGAACATAACCACCAAGAAGTTGTGGAACTCTTAATAAAGTATGGAGCAGATGTTCATGCTCAGAGTAAATTTTGCAAAACTGCATTGGACATTGCAATAGACAATGGGAATGAAGACCTTGCAGAAATATTACAGGTAACTTTTGATTCATGATGCTGAAGGAACTGAGAGCAAAGTACTTGTTTAGATATGTGATCAGCTAAGCTTTTATAGAAAGCAAGTATCAATTATATTAAGTAATAATGCTGGACTTCGGTCTAGTTTTTAGTTGGAAATGAGATTACAGTTAATAAACATCAGTTGGCTGAAGAGTATTTCTACCACCTGTAGAGTCAAGAAGTTTTCTTCACTTTCTTAGCATGGTGTCTTCACAGATGAAAAATTTAACACATTGCCATGTGTTAGCAGGAAGGTTTCACTGTACCTTATTATTTAGGTCCTCTGTGTGTATGATAAATGAAAAGGAGAGATGGCAGTGTACTGTTATTCTCTCTCATATCAACAGACTTCTTTAGCTTTAAGACAGAAGAAACTCATTCACTTAACAGAGCACAAGGAGTGACACTGTGTGCATATTGCACGAGTATAGCTGGTGAGATCCTTCCTGCATGAGTGGCATGCACAGTGATTCTAGTTTTTGCAAGGTAAATAACTTATGTTCACAGCTGGAATGGTGATGATTACCCTTGTCTTCTAGATTGCAATGCAGAACCAAATCAATACGAATCCGGAGAGTCCAGATACTGTGACAATACATGCAGCAACACCACAGTTCATCATTGGACCTGGAGGGGTGGTGAACTTAACAGGTCTGGTATCTATTGCAAACCGAGCAGGGATTTAGTTGTCTGTAAGATAGCTACATTTAGGGAAAGGATTTTACGTTTAGTGAAAAGACTTGAGCAACAATAATGGTAATTAATACTAAGTACTAGAGTACTTATGTATTCTTCTTCAGTACTTATTTGTTTCTAAACATCTTAATACTGAGAACAAGTCTTCGTGCAGTAAATTAGCAGAAGTTGTATTTGCTCGAGAAACTTGCTTACAGAATAGCATTTTGGCTTAGCAGAATGTTACTAAGAACAGTGTATGTTAGTAACTCCAGTACAATAAAAATATAAAAGGGACTTCATTAATTGTTAAAACAAATTATCAGCTGACTTTTGTTTTCTTCCTATTAGATGAGACAGGAGTGTCTGCTGTGCAGTTTGGAAATTCATCGACGTCAGTATTAGCCACATTAGCAGCTTTAGCAGAAGCATCAGCCCCACTGTCTAATTCTTCAGAAACACCAGGTTAGAAAGCCATGTAATTAAACTTCATTTAATAAACTAAACTGAAGAAAATAAATGGTGTCATACACAGTTCATGCAGAAATGAGAATACAATCTCATTTGTTTTTTTCAATACGAACAAAAGCTTTCCTTTTCTTTCCCTTGAAAGGTTGGTAGATACATGTGAACAATTACTCAGTGAGATTTCTGACCACGTTGGGTGTTTGTGGGCCTAATGTTACTAGCATTCATTCTTGCTAAAAGCAAGAGTAATTCAAGAGACTTCATTTACGTCTTTGTGAATGCAGCAGTCTAGTCGCATTTGGTGTGAGAATGTTTTCTGTGAATGCTCTTTTCTGTTAAGTTATGGGAGATTGCTCCTGATGTTCTTTCTGTGTACTTAATCAGCACTTCTCTTAACATTTCCTCTGATAGGCATAAGAATATTTAGTGACCTTAACATGAAAAAAAAAAAAATCAGCTGAGTATTCTTGCTGGGCTTTCATCAGCCTTTTACTTAGCCTCCTTCATGTGAGATTCGATATATCTGGATGAAGCACTTAGGCTCTGCCTTTTGTGCTGTTTCTTCCTATATTTTTTGCCTTTTCAGGTTAACTTTACTGTGATCTCTTCCTCTAGTTCCTTGTGGCGTAAAACCAGTGTTTTTTAAATCCAAGTAAAATCAAAGAAAAAAAAAATGCTGACTGGAGCTGAGTAGAATGCTTGTTTTAACTTCTCCTCGTGACGTGTGTATGAGGGGATGGATGTTATGTGTTAATATATGGTTCATTTTATATACAGATCTCTGAGATGGAAAGGAAACTCAGAGAAGTGTCTGGTTTAATCTGTGTTTTTGCTTTTGGGATGAGGCTTATGTTTCTGGCTGCAAGTACTGGAGATCATGCCAGTATTTTTCATCATGTGAAGGTGCATCAATTAGTGATTCTAGGCATGTTTATATGGAAAGAGAACAAGGAAAGAATTAGGACCGTATTTATGGGACTGTTTTTCTTTAGCATCAGTAACTACTTTTCAGACAAAATCTTGAAGGTTTTTATTCCAAAGTCTCCTACAGAAGCCCTAATAGTGTTTCCTTCTCTAAGTGAAAGCGTGGTGTTGATTCTGAAGCTGAAAGATCGGGGCTGTTTGCCCCAGCAGCTAGTATTGGCACTTGCAACTTTGATTTATTTATTTCTTTTCTTTTTCACAGTAGTCTGTCTTACTGCTGCATCCTTACTTGGAAGCCAAATCAAGTTCAAGACAATACCACTTATTTATACAGGACTTACTGTTTTGATTTACTGAATAAACACTCTGTGAATATGTAAGCAGGGCTATAGGGCAGTAATCTCTGAACATAATGATCTTCAGAAGGCAATGACTGAAGTCATTTGGACTACACAGTGACTTTTGAGTGTGTTATATCGTAATTTAAAAGATGAAAGCTTCAGAGTTTTATCTACCTTCTCTCATCTGGAGCATCACAACATGACCTATAGGGTTTTAATTGGATCTCTGCAGATAGGAAGCCTTCTAATGTCTCTTATTTAAATCAAAGGCTTTGCTTTTACCCTCACCAATTGAAAATGAATTACAGAGTTATGTACTTGAAATTCTTTGATTGCACTACCAGTCATCTTGCTCTTTGTCGGAGTATCTTGTTTTAAAAAACAGGACTGCTGGTGTGGGGCCCTGTTACAGTGTGCATGCTGTAGTTCTGGATGCAGCCGTTCTCTTAACGCAGTTTGATTTATACATGTAATGTAAAAGAGCGATGAAAGCTCACTACTATGTATTTGTTATTGAATCATGAGTATTCAGTTGAGCTGGGATTTTAGTTTTTCTTTTACCTATTAAGTTATATATGTACAATGTTTATTTTGTGTTTTTTTTTGTTTTTTTTAGTGTTACCCTTCTTCTAAGGTGTAAAAATGTCAGCTCTGCAGAACATTCCATCTAGTTGTGTTTTGTGCTTTGTATTGTAATTGAAGTCGTGTTTGTGGTTGAAGAATGTGTATGGTACAAACAAAGCCGTAAGGCTCTGTAGAAGGAGTTTAGTATGTTACTGTCTTGAAGACCGTTGTGATAGGCACAGAAGTCAGGGCTGTGTCCTGAGGTACATCTGGCAAAGGTGCTTGATGAGGAATGTTGTACTTTTCAGCCTCTTGCTGCCATGTCAGTGCAGAAACCAAATAGTCTGTTTTGAGTGGGGTGTATCTATTAGGAACATTCTAGATAAAAACTGATTATAATGAGCAAGGTAAAATAGGGCAGAATTGCATGTATATTGCAAAACATGAGTGTGTTGTATGCATCTGGTGAAAGAATGTCATTAACAGCATAATATGTAGAATATGTGGTATTGCATTAAGTTGGAGAAGATCAAATTTGAAAAGACGTAGAAGAATTTTTTCTTGCTAAAATGCATTTGAAACAAACTTAATTTGTAAATAGTCTTAATTCCTTGTTTTTCTGTTGATAGTTGTGGCAACAGAAGAAGTGGTGACTGCAGAATCTGTGGATGGTGCTATTCAGCAAGTTGTCAGTTCTGGAGGTCAGCAAGTTATTACTATAGTTACAGATGGCATTCAACTTGGTAATCTGCATTCAATTCCAACCAGTGGAATAGGGCAACCAATAATTGTGACCATGCCAGATGGGCAGCAAGGTGAGTGGAAGCTTGTGCCTCTTGAGCTTGAGAAACCATTTCAGTCACAGAAATAAGTTGTTAAATGCAAGTAGCTTGGAAAATGTTGTACTGCTACCAGTTCAGACATGTTTTTGAATTCTTGCTCTCTAAAAGGCTCAGGCACGTGAGCTGTGGCAGTTCATTGAGCTCTTACAGGTCAGCTGAGGCTCAGCATTAGGAGAAAAAGAATTACTAAACTACATGGGTGAGAAATGATGTATCTAAGGCAAAAGTGATAACTACTGGCTTCATCTTCAGTAAGTTTGATGTTCTGGAGGAGTAGTCTCAGAACCAGCAAAACCAGAATTATATAGATAGTCTCTTCCTTTTGGACCACGTGTATTTTGTGGAAGCTTCTGGCACACTAATTGCTGTTCTGTGACGTGTGTCTTTTTGGGGTTTCTTTTCAAGATGCTCTGCTACCTCTATTTAGATAAAAATGCTTCCCTCTCTGGTTTATTCATGGAGATTCCCAGTGTGGATGATGAAGAGTTGTACTTTGAAAGACAAAAGTTTTGGTTTTGCTTGATGAATAAATACAGCTACTTATTGGATAGCATTATACAAATGGCTTTAATAAATTTTCCCTGCACTGGCCTCTGCTCCACTTCTGTAGAGCTGCATTTTCTTGAGGGAAAGACTGCATTTTATTGCTGGTTATAAAATTATGTAACTGTATGAGTTTTATTTTGTGTAACTATTGCTTGAAGAAAAGTGCATTTAAATATATAATTATCTTTTTAGTATTAACAGTTCCAGCAACAGATATTGCTGAAGAAACAGTGATAAGTGAAGAACCACCAGTCAAGAGACAGTGCATTGAGATTGTTGAAAATCGTGTGGAGTCTGCAGAAATAGAAGTAAGGAGTCTATTACATGATGTATGTTAACCAGAGGGTTCAGCACTGGATATGTGGTTGGCTTTCTGGTGTTTTAGAGTTAAGTTTCTGTGTTAAAGCAGAATGAAGAGTGTGATACAATAACTTGTTCAGTTTCCTCTGTTACTGGAATTGATCTGTTACAAAGTTGTTGTAAAAAGTACATAGGCATGCTGTTTGCTTCATCTGGTTGTGCACATACAAATGTTAATTGCTCAAGTTTTTGTCAGCTTTTTTCCCCCCTCTAAGATCACTAGCTAGTCTTTAAAACTAGATGCTGATAATGTTATCTCATAACTCAACTCTTTCCACTAGCAGTGAATGAGAATGGTGTTCCCTCATCTGTCTTTTATGGCCATGTGTTTGTCCTGATTGTGAGATGACAGTCTCAGTAATGTTTCCTTTCCATTCAAGATAACTGTTAATGGAAATATGAAACAGTAAGATTCTGTGTTGGTCAGTTTTTATCTCTTTTTTTTTCTTCTTCTTAATTCTGGAGCTGTTGCTGTTACACGTCTCTGTGTTATAAAGTTTTTTGAAAATACAACACGGAAGACCAATGGATATTAAAAGAGCTTTTCATATACGGTAGATGCAGCTTTTCAATTTAAAGCTGCAGCTTTATTTTTTTCTAAGTATATATTAAGCCAAGTAAGTCAAGCATCTCATTCCTTCTTCTGTTACTTCTAACTGCTGACTAGTTTTGGTCAAAAGTTTAAGGAAATTGCTGTCAGCCTTGGCTAGGCTGTGAGTTCTCATTTTGTCAACTCCATGATACTTCCATTTATCCAAAGTTGTATTCTGACTTCTGTTCATGTTATTGAATAACACTTTGTGCCTGATTGAGTACTGTTTATTGTTCAGTTTGGCTGTGCGTTGTCCTTGTCTAATAACAATAATTGCCACTTTCCATCGCTGAATTTCTCTGTCCCTAAGTTGTCCTATCAAATACCTTTGGCTTTTGCAGCTTTGTGGTCATTACATATTATCACAACACTTAAAATTTTCTTGCTGCAGTTTTTTAAAAATGTATGATTATTACAATAAAAACTTTTATTTTGTTCACGTTTTTAAACATCCGCTTGAATTATTCCCGCAGGCAATCACAGTTAGTAAATAATAATCATTAGGTAAGGGAAAAAACAATCCAGATTGATTAATAATAAATTGACCTGCTCCTAGTTAAATATGGTCACTAAAACAATACAAATAATTCTCTGGGAGGACTCCAGCTTCAATTACATGCTTGAAAACATTGTGGAATCTTAAAAGTAGTTGGTTAAAATTATGAACTTTATCTGTTACTTCAAAGTGCAAGTTTTGAATACTGATTTAATCCTTGATTGGACAATTGAATGCACATGCAGACCTCTGCCTCTTTGTAGAGGCCAGTTGACTTTAGGAGCCTCCGTGCGCTCAGCAAGTGTGGTGCTTCCTGTCTTTGGGGTGTTAAAGGTGTGCACATCAAATCACTTTGCTTGACAGGCTAACACAAGTATACCCTTGAATTTGGAGAGAGTGGAACTCTTACCCATTTAAAAAAAAGTTACTTAGTGTGAAAAACCTCTGTTACTGAAGATAAGTTTCTTTGCCTTGGTGATTCATTCCTCTTATTTCATTATAAAGACATGATTCAAGGCAAAGAGTGCTGTCTTCCAATGTTTTACATTTATAATTTATGAACAGTTAATTGTAGTTTGACAGTCTTGTTGAACTCCCTCCCACTCATGTGAGGTGACAAATGTTCCTGCGAAAGTATAGTGAATGATAGTGATGATTTCTGACTTTCTCATTTGGGTCTGTTGAATTCAACCATTGCAGCTCATTTTCAAGTGGTATAGCAGTCTGTAAACTATGTGACGGCAGCAACAAATTGTCCTTGTCATGCAGATGCTGTTTTTCATTTTCACACACAATTCATTAACATACAGTGAATTTTATTTTAATTCTTGAATTTTACTGTCTTTCTTTTTGCATGTTGGAAAGGTGACATGCTTTGGAAACATTCAGGACAATTAGACTGAAGTCATAATTGTAAATGAGTTGTATTAATGAATTCATATTCCTTCTTTTTCCTGCTTGTGTGGTTATTTTAATTATTTGTTATTTACGTACTTGAATTATTGCTGTCCCCTCATCAACATGTAGGCTGTTAAGGAAAGTTGTAAGTAAAGAAAATTCCCACATAAAACAGAAGATTCCTTAAGAGCACTCAAACTTCTGACTTTTTACCTGAACTGATTTTTATATTGTTGTAAAGGACTTTAGGGAATTAAAACATTTCTTAGGATGTTCTGAAGAGCACCTAGGAACATTTTCTGGATTTGCTGAAATTGAGAGCCCAATTATAGTCCCCAATTTTAGATGTCGAAGTTAAGGAGCTAATTTTCATTGATCTATCCACAGCAGGGTACGTTACTCATCCAGGAGTAGTGATTTCTTTCACTGCTCAGTTAGTACGTTTGGCCCCAGTTCCTCAGCTTATTCTATTTATTTTAAGACTAAATCTGTTTGCACCTATTAGTTCTTGGGCTAGCCAATGTGCCATGAGTTGCCAGTATACCTGGAAGATACTGGTTTTACCTCTGCCACTGATATTTTGTTTGTTTGTTTGTTTTTTCTATCCTGCCCTTTGTGTGCTGTCACGCATAGTGTGGCTGTACCCCTTGTGGGTACCTGGCTCTGTTTCTCTATTATGTGGAGGGCGCACGGAAGACTTATTCTGGGTTTTGATCTGCACCCTTAAGTGTTTGCAGTTTGCGTGTACTCTGTAGTGGTGGCAGAGCCTTGGTTTTGTAGTGGACCACAGAGCAGGTGAACTGCTGCCAGTTCTCATTTTTCTGCAGCTTTGCTTCTTGACAGTAGGACACTTAATTGTGTGACATCTGTGGGGCAGATAATGCTCAGGTCAGCATATCGGTGCCCTCAAGAGGGAAGGCCTGCTTCCCACGTGTAGTGGGATACCTGTTCTGGCTGCTCTCTTGAGAGCTGTCTGTACTCCTTTGCCCTCAACTTGATACCTACGCGGCTGCTTTATGTAAGTCATTGGTTCTGCTTAAATTACATAATAAATTATCGAAATAACAGTATGTTCAAGTCAGACTGGTGCTGGAACATGTCAGGTGTATTTCAGATCCTCTGGGAGATGTGGGCTCTACCATTTATTTTGCCTTAGTATTTGGCACAGGTCAGCATGGCTGCTACAGGAGCTGCCCTTCCTAATGCTGCTTAAAAAGCAGAATCCTGATTTTCAGAGGTGGAAATTGAACTTTGTTTTCAAATAAGCAACAAGATCAGATGAGCTGTTGTTTTATTAGTGCATGCTCCCAGTGAAACAAACCCATCAATGCTAGCTTCCTTTAGCTCTTAAAGCCTTGTGGAAAATCAGATTTCATGTACAGTTTCATCTGTTCTGTATTATATATAGCTAGTCTTTATCAACCTGTTAATAACATCTGTCCTTCACTTGTTTTTGCTATACAGATGCTGCTGCTAGCAGTGATCAGATCACCTGTGTTATTGTATTTAAGCACATTCAGTACAGCATGTGACTGCTAAATGTGGCTATGACAAGTACTGAGAACAGTAGCAAGTAGAAGGCAGGCAGAGAATTTTCTGTTTTCAGTCTCTGATCGTGAAAATACGTGAGTTCATCAAATATGTGAAGAACAGAGGTGTTGTTCTGGGGGTGGGGGGTAAAACTAAAACTATTCCAGATATTCAGTGGGAATATGATGCTATATAGGGTGAAGAAGCAACTTTTTCATGGTCTCAGTTTTTGACAGCTTTGTTTTTCTGAGAGAGGTTGTTTCTCTGTCAGCCTCCCTTCTGTGGCTACTGAGAGCTGTAGTGGAAAGAACAAAGGGAAATCAAATGCTGCCTTAATCATAAAACATGGTGCACTTTAATGAAATAGTATGTGGTTGAAGATCAAAACTATTTTTCCAAGCTGATAGCTTTTTTCAATTAGGCTCAGTACAGGATCAAACACAAAATATCTATGTCAGAGGAGATAGAAATACATTCTCCTTAGTTTCTAAGGCAGCCTCGTAAGAAGCGATATTTTCTGGTTTTGTTTGGAAAGTATTTTATAACTATCCTCAAATAAGTTACTCCTCTTGTGTTGAAAAAGCTTATCTAGCTAAATACCTCCTAATTCATAATGATGCAGTGTCCTTGGGGTTGCTGTTATACCTCTGGATATAAAATCAGATTTCATTTACAGTTTCATCTGTTCTGTATTACAGCTAGTCTTTATCAAGCTGGTGTCAGTCACTCCAAATCATTTAGAAACCAGATCTTAAATTCCAGTCAGTGAGCAGCTATCGCCTTCTAGTGCACACTGCTGTTAGGGAACAGATTTTCTAACTATCTGATGAGAAAAACCTATGCAAAACAGAATGCCTAACAGAAAGAGGCAATCATATTGGATTGAATTCCAATCCTATTAGATGTTAACTAAAAAAAAAAGTCACAGAGAACTGAGTGACTGGGAAAACGTTAATGACATTTGCTTGCTATCGCTGTCCATCCACTTTTGTACTTCGTTGTTTTGCTGTGAAGGCTGGCTTGGTGTCTTTGCAGTGAAAGAGATTTGGGTTTGCCTTACTTAGACTTCAGACCTTATTGAGGGGAGTTGTCTGATATGGTGATTCCCGTCTACTTTACTCAGCAACATTAGTATAGATTTGTCCTGGTAAGAACCACAATTTCTACGTGATGCCCTAACCCTTGAGCTGCATGTAAAGAGCAAGTATTTGCCATTTTAACCTGCCTTTGATACATATTTGACAAAATGTTGCTGGTTCTTTTTCTAATAGGAAAGAGAAACTCTCCAGAAGCAGCTGGATGAGGCAAACAGAGAAGCACAAAAATACCGTCAGCAGCTTCTGAAGAAAGAGCAAGAAGCAGAGGCCTATCGGCAGAAGTTAGAGGCAATGAACCGCCTCCAGACTAATAAAGAAGCTGTTTAATAAAAAAAGAACATACTGCAAAGCCTGTTACTTTCAAAAACCTGCAGTACAATCTTGAACTGTTCTCTGTATAGGTGCAGACACAGGATTACATGATAGAGAAGATGCTACAAGTCGATAACTGGACTTAAGCCGTGAGCTCTGATGAATTTCTTGTAACATAAAAACTCTGAATTTAGAAATTGTGAAAAGTATTTAAAATGAAATACTGTAAATAGTTGTTTTTTTTACAGTTTCAAAATAAGTTGATAAATCTTTTTGAAGGGATCCAGAAACACGAAGCCAATGTTTTTGTGAAATTTTTGATTTTAATATGAATCTAACTTCTGAAAAAACAGAACAGTTTTAAGGGTGATGCTGATTCATCTGACAACTTGAAAATGAATTATATGACAAAAGGAATTAACAGTTATTTCTACATGGTAACAACTTCTCTGAATAAGACATTTCCAGGTGGAAATCTTTGTACAGCTTTAAGTAGTTGTCTCAGATTCTCTGAAAACCATTTTTTGGGTTTGTTGTTTTTGTTTTTGTTTTTTTTAGGCGGTGAAATTTTTATATTTAATTTCAGATATATCCAAGTAGATTTACATGTATATGAAGCTAATATTTTTTAAACTTTTTGGTTTGTACATATGCTGCATGTTTTTATAATTTCTACGCATACAACTTGCATAGGTATTTTTCAGCAAAGAGGAGGGCGAATTATGAGAGCGATGTTTAGCCTATAGGTCATTGGAAGCAAGCTAGCAGCTGGTTTTATTGTGGAAGATATGTTTCTTGAAGAATGTAATTTGTAATTAAAAAAAACAAAACCAAAATCTTAATTTTCATAAGAGATGATTTAAAGTTTGACGGTGGAGGCATTGCAGCTTCACTTTGTGCATCTTGCAGTTTTCAGAGACAAACGTTTTAAAGTTCAGAAATGAATAGAAAACAATGTCTCCACTGGAACACAACTAGTTATTTTAGAGTATTCTTACTGATCTGTTTTCCCCAATAGCCTTGAAATCATTTCAGTGATATTTTTTTTTCTAAACAGACGTTTGCATTTTAATTATGCAATTGGTCAAGTAATTTTTTTATGTTTTAGTGATGCTGCTCTTACCCGGCATCATTGTTCTTCACTGTGATACTGTGTTTGTGTGCGTCTGTGCAGTGATACGTTATGCTTAGGATTTATATAGCACATTACATCTTCAGAGCATCGCAAAATCTTTTTAAGAACCCTTACTGTACTGCCTGAGGCAGGTAAGTGAGTGTTATTATCTCAGTTTTATAACTGGTATAAGCGCGACACAGGGAGTATTAAACAATTGGTCTGAGACCACGAGAATCTGTGGTAGACCTGGCAAGAGATCTCAGGAGTTCCTGGCTTCTGGTCCTGTGCTTAGACTGAGCTGCCTTAAGATTGTTCAGTGCTGTGTTACATTAAATTTTAAACTACTGTGCAGGTTCCTTTTTTTTTTTTTTTTTTGTAAGATAAAACTCTGTGCTTTGCTTTGTTGTTCCATGTTTCACTGCTTTTATGGAATTGTTTATATGAAGTTAAGCAAAAAGTCTAGTTTACCTATACTGTATACAGGATGATTACCCTTAAAACTGTACTCTGGTCTACTTTTTCTATTTTACAATTAAATATCTTTTCCACATATATGTAGTGGGGAATCAATTCTATTTCTGTTGTTTTGTATGCGTGCTGGAAGGTCAAAACTGATATGTTACATCTTTAGAAAAAATTGAAAAAATAGTGTTCATCTTAGAAAATCAGTTCTCGGAGATAGGAGGGAAGAGTGGGAAAAGAATTGCTTTATAGCATAGGAAATAAATCTTCCTCCTTCAAACTCATGACTGAGTTTGTGGAATTGTTCTGGAAAAAACCTTAACATTGGTATGAATCTGGAATATTGGATCCCATTTGGAAAATCTGATCCCAAAATAGTGAAGAGGTCGTAGCAATCGAAAATTTGTGCTGGTCGTTTTTAATAGGATTGCTTTGCAAGTTATATAATTGTACTCAATTTAGTATTGCAACTTGAAGAAAGCCTTCAGCAGTGACTGGTTGGATATTACTGCATTGTAGGCTTTTCTCGAAAACTAACTTCTCCGTCATTAGCAAACGCAGGAACAAGTTAATCAACTCAAAAGTGCTGGTTGGGCATTGTTCCAACTGAATTATTCCATGATGAAAATAATGTTTGTGTCCTCACATCCCACAAACTTAACTACTGTTTAATCTCTCTTAACTCTTAATAATAAGAAGAATTTCAGCATCAGCCTGAGTGGTGATAGTGGTAATGTTCACGTCCACATGGGGAATTTCCCACGGTTCTGACAGCACTGACCTTTGCAGCAAACAATGAAAAGAACGTTTTTCTATTCGTTCTGCTTCCTGTGGGCAAATATTCTATTCCTCGCGGTCTGTAGCAAACCCTCGTAACCCTTCCAGGTGCAGGGTAGCTAAAACAAAACCAGATTTATCTCCAGTAATATTTACCTTACCTGTAATCCGTTATCGCCCATCTTATTCTGGCTCCAAACAGGATCTGTTTATTCTTTTCCCTACTGAATGAAAAGCCAACCTGGTCAAACTGTCAGTTTGAGCAAAAGACATAGGATATATGTCGCATGGAGTATTTATTGTGTAGTTCAGCTCTGAAAACATTGTTAAAAGTATTGGTTCTTATTTGCTGTTCCAAATTGAAATCATAATTGTAATTAGCTGCCAGCTTTCTTTGATCAGACTTGCTTCCTGTTGAAAATAATGTATTTATTACTCATAATGACCTACAGTCACGGTTTTTGATCACTGAGCTCTTTTTGACTTGATCCTGCCAGCTCCTTCCCATCTCCTTTGTTCCCCTTTATGAAAGCAGTAACAGTACAGGCAAGAGAGGTTCCGAAATTCATGTGAAGTATTGGCAGTATCTTAATTTTTCTTTTCCTGATGATGATGATGTTTCCTGAGGAATGAGAGATAAAATAAGTGACTATGCGTATGGTACATTTCTGTGTGCTCTTCTTGCACTTCTTCTAGTGCCTTTATCTTCTTTTTTTTTTTAATTTCAGTATATTAATCTGATGTGTGTATCAGCGTCTTTTTTATCTCTGAAACAGCTCTTTCTTAATTATCTAATCGCAGCATGAACTCGGAAAGGTTTTTACAATGTTCTACAGAAAATATGCTGCAGGAAGAAGTAACGGCTTTTTAGAATGATGGAAGGATTCAGGCTGAATTGAGCTGCTCTGAGAGCTGGTTCCTTTCCATATGACAAGAACATGGGAACTGCTGTGATGTGTCAGACTAAAGGTCTGCCCAGCTGGCACCTTGTGCCCAGCACTGAGCAGCCACAAGCAGAAGCCTGGGAAATAGCAAAAATAGGAGTGTATTATCCTACGTAATCATTTCTCTTTCTAGAGCTCAGTCGTTTCGACTATTAAGATGTTTAAGTCCTACTTCTCTCTTTTCCCAGGACTGCCTGATATCAGTGTAGAGCAAATCAGTTGCTTCTGCTGAAGACGGTTAGCGCTCCACATCGAAGTGTCAAAGATTCTGCTGCCAAAGACAGGTCAGGATGTGTTTTCAGTTCTAAATGAAACTGGAACAGCAGGGACTCTGTGGCTGTTCTTTCAAACTGAAAATATAGGTAGAGGGCTTGAAGGAATTCTGGAAATATATGGCCAAGTCTCAGTGCTTGTGCGTACCATGTGTGAGAAAAGCAAGCATGGTGTGCAAAGCTTGTTTCCTTAGCTCAGCACTGTAGAGTGGTACCACTGGAGGAGGGTAACTGCGGTATAACAGTCTGATCTGCAAGGGCAGAATTTCCACAAGGAGAATCACTGCTTTGTATCGCAGGTCTGGAACTGGTAGTGTTTGTAATGCCTTTCCTTACAACGGTGTGAGTACGACAGTGCGGAGGATGAAGAGTTGTGGAGATGTTCTCTTCTTGGGAAACTCAGTTCTAGATCAATTAATTAATTTACTGTTAAGTCCTTACCTGCTCGAAAGTGCAGTGTCCAAATTATATGCTGGTCCCTTTGTTACAATGACTACTGCTAGTGCTGCTTTCAGCCTGCAGAAGAAATATGACTGCTTTTATTTGTTTTTTAAAGCTCTTCAGCTCCTTCTCTTGCATGATTCTGATGTTAATGTGTCCATTATCTCCATGATGGATTACTGCGTGTCTTCTGAAAGATGCTTGCAAAACAAGAAAGAATTGGAGTCGAGACAGCTCATCTCACAGATGTGTTATCTTATACATCAAAAGAGCACAGATGAGAATGTACAAGAGACTGTAAAAGCCCTCCATTGGGAGGAGTTAGATAAACACTCACCAATAACCTGCCTGCGTTCAACCTTGTGCGCAAGTCTGAGATAAAGAGAGCTATAAAGGGTGAGCAGCTAGCAGGGCACCAGACTGGTCTGCCCACAACTCTCTGAGAGGTTGCAGGCCAAGTGTGCAGAGGTGCTCCTAGGAGGAATCAGCATGGAACCTGAGGAGTACAGACGGAGAGGTGAGTGATCCTCATGGAAATGGGTCGCATTTGCCTCTGAGGAAGAGCTGTTGTAGGGCTGTGGGTGGCACCCAGCAATGAGAGGGGCTGTAGATTGTTTAACTGCCCATGCCCTTGGGGCTTTACATCTGCTGGAGTGGAAATGATGTGTCCCAGTTTGAATTAACAGATTTAGTCGGTGGAAGACTTAGACTTTTTGATCTTACATTTGAATACTGTGGGAAAGCCCCGAAGCCTAAAAATTCTGAATAAACTTGTGTGAAGGGGTTATGCACAATGGCTCTTCCCTGACTGACACTCAGCAGTTCTGGAGATGGGAGCAATCTTTGGTCTCAAGGCTGGAGGAGGTTACCTGGTAATTGGAGGTATTGCATTGAGCTGTGTAGCTGTTTTCAGAGGATGCAAAAGGGATTGTGCTATAATAACAGGGAAGAATGGCACATTAAGAGAACTGCATTTCTGTATGTTTTCGTTTTATCTGTAGGTAAGAAAATCTATCCCGTCTGTAATCAAACAGTCCGTATTTGCGTCATGATCTGATTTTAGAAGTACACTTGAACTACTGAGCGATGACAACCTTGTGAATCTGTTCAGTCTCCATGAAGTCTATTTCAGAAGCTGTGTCCTTACGTTATTAGTTGGGACTAATAATATAGACAAGGCATAAAGTTTGAGTAGTTTTCCCTAGAAATTTAGTTCCCTAGAAATCTAGTTTTCGCTAGATTAGCTGATCACAGAACCAGAGATCATTTCAAGTCGCCTGATTGCTTCCCAGTATTTCTCCTGATGAAGAACATTTGCTCTGAATAATTGGGAACGTTCTGAAGGTCACACAGCTCCTATATGTGGGGTGCCATGTGCATGTTCTCTGCTAAACAGGAGCACTAATTCATGAGGCTGATTCATAATACATTGAATTGAGACTCGTACTGTGAAATATGGCTCTATTTTCTTAGATAAGCGAAGTAATGAGTTTATTGTCAGAGTACAGACTATTATTTTTTTCCACTTGTGGACCATGTAATGTTAAATGATGATTCAGAGGACTAGTCTGAACCAAATGTTGAGTAGAATCCTGACAGATTGCATGACGTGATAGTATTACAATTTGCTTTTCTCTCAATCTAAACTCGAAGCATTGGTTTGCTTCTTCCAGGGAAAGACATGGTGGATTACATTTGCCAGTACCTGAGCAATGTGAGAGAGAGACGAGTGACTCCTGATGTACAGCCAGGTTACATGAAAGCTCAGTTGCCAGATTCTGCCCCAATGGACCCAGATAGCTGGGACAACATCTTTGGAGATATAGAGAAAATCATTATGCCTGGGGTAAGAAATAAAAATCATTACTAACTGGGGTAAATACCCAAAATTTGGGAATGCACAAGTTCTGCAGGATGTGTTTTTAGATGCATGCTCACGTTGCTGACCAGCGTGCAAGCTCTTTCAGGAGCACTGAGGAAGGCTATGTAATTGTGGCATATAGCCAAAAACAAGCTCTTTGATAAAATGAGCAATAGCAACTTGGTTGTAAGGACTCCCCATGTCAGGGTAAATTTTTTGGACTCTGTTGTGCAATGTTGTTCAATTCTTTCCTGTTCACAATCTTTGTCTGCCTGTTAAATTCAGATAAATGCTTTTTGATATAATTTGGAATTTATCTAATAACGGCGCAATTTTATCGTTTGATAATGCTGCACTCCTGTTGATACTGTCTCTGTAGCTTTCTGATAGCAATTCTATAATTGCTCATATTACGCTGTTATGATCCTTTCCCATCATGAAGCAGGCACTGATCACTATATCTTGTGCACAGTTTTCTCACGTTTTCAGAATTGACTTCCAGATAATTTCATTCTAGGTGGTTCATTGGCAAAGTCCACACATGCATGCCTACTTCCCAGCTCTTACTTCTTGGCCTTCGCTCCTTGGAGATATGCTGGCTGATGCAATTAACTGCTTGGGATTCACCTGGGTAAATGACTCTTTTTATTTTGTTATCTTAGAAATTCTTCTCCTGTGTATATTATGGAGATCACAGTCATTCCTTCTGGTTCTATGAGTCAGTATAAATTTTTACTGTAGACCATTGTAAGCTGTTTGTGTATAACTGAAAAATGTCTCTTGTAAAAAATAAGTCATATATAAAAGCAAATGTTGCCTGGTACTAAGAGTTGAATGAAAAAATACACCACTTAGAAAGGTCTGTTTTCTAATTATTTGCATATCTCACAGTAAGCATTGTTCCCTGATCGTTTATCTCAGTACTAAGACTGTCGCACAAGCACTGCAGGCAGTAGAGCAGCCAGCACTCCTGACTGCAAGTTAGGCTGGGCTTCATTCCAGTTCTCCTGCTCATTTGGGAAAGCACTCTTTCTATTTTTCTCCTTCTAAAATAGAATGTTTGGTAGCTTGTCCCATAATGTCTGAGTATTTGGTGTCCCACTTAAATATGTGTCTCCATGTTAAGAAAGCAGTAAAGCCCATAAACCTGTAAGGAACTGGGAGGTTACAGTCTCTGTGTACTTGTATCAGATTAGCTCATTGCATACGCAGAAGTGTCCATTTCCATGCTCTCTATTTACTTTGTAATTCTGTTTGTTTCGGTTAAGTTTGTAATGTAAACTCTCATAAACTGATTCTTTCATAAGCGGAAAGCTTGACACTGCAAAACAACTTCAATCTTTTGCTGCTCTTAAAACCCCACCAAAAAGATGGATCAGTGACTTTTCTGCTTAGGGACTGTGAGCAGTGGTGGTGAACTGCAACTATGCGTTTTTGCCTTACGTAGTTTGCTGTAATCTCAACATCGAGGTCTGTGTCAGAGAACTCACCGAACAACAACATCGTTTTTATTAAAATAGCATTGTGTTCTGCTGGGTAGGAGTCATAGTGTTACAGGGCTAGCTGTTTATATATCCAGTGTTACAAAGCTTGTATCTGTGTGTTGCATCAAGGTGAGATTTCTGCCAAGGCAATTAAATGTTAATAGCTATGAATTAAAACGTAGCGTGTGGTGTACTCTCAAAGGCTTAAACTCCTGCTGTGTTTGCTGAGTGAATTTACAGCATCATTGTTTAATTTTCTAGGCCTCCAGTCCCGCCTGTACAGAACTGGAAATGAATGTGATGGACTGGCTGGCTAAAATGCTGGGACTTCCAGATAAATTCCTGCATCACCATCCTGATAGTGTGGGCGGAGGAGTATTACAGGTAAAGGAGATCAGAGTTAGTCCCATCAGCATTTCTGGTTGCACTCAAGTAATTTCCTTCTTGGTGATCATTTTTCTTTGAGGCAAAATCAATGAAGTCCAAATGGAAACAACTCCAATATTGACATTTCTTTCCCAGATTTTAGATTCATATTTAGATGATAATGGAATAGGAATTGCTATTGCTTTTATTCCTTAATACGTTATAGACTAGGAGCAGGTATTCTTGTGAACAGACTTAAGGATAAACGAGATAATCAGATTTGGTTGTCTGTTGCTTCACTAAAGTTATTCCTGCATAACTAAAGACAACGACTTATCACTGTCTTCCTAGCAGTCCTCATCCACATATATTCTTTTTCATTTATCTCATGCTGACTTTGTGTCTCTGAAAGCCCCAAGATCCAAGGCCTGAACCTCACCTTATTTCAAAAGGTCTTAGCCAAGTACTCTCTGGAATCAGTGCTAAGGCTCTGTTTTTACAGAAACAGTTTTCTTTAGACTTGTATTACTTATAGTAGATACTAAATTTAATCTGTAGAAGAACAAAAGAAAAATGTGACTTATTTGCTCACCTCAGTACCGTACACAAATAATACATGGCAGTGAAAAGATTTTGCTTTGTATTCCTGGCCCAGAGAGCTGCTTGTCAGCTAGTGACTTTCCATTGTGTCTGAGAAAAGCAGTAGGAGAACCAAAAGACCGGGTCGGTAACTGGGCACTTGAATGATTTTGCTCGATCACTGGCAAAATAGCAGTGAAGCAGAAAAATGTTGCAGTAAATGAGCAATGTCTTTGCAGAGCACCGTGAGTGAATCAACCTTGGTTGCGCTCCTGGCAGCACGGAAAAGCAAAATTCTGGAGATGAAGCTTTCTGAGCCAGACGCTGACGAGTCCTCACTCAATTCTCGTCTCATTGCTTACGCATCTGATCAAGTAGGTTACAAATTACAAAGAGAATAAATTGGCCTCTGTCTCAGGCAGGCCATCGGATGACACTGTGAACTTGCATTACTATACAAAAAGAAAAATACAAGCATGATCAAGTCACTCTAAAGCCCTTTTCTTCAGATGGGGAAATGAAATAGGTATAAGATTTTGCAGTGTTCCAGAAGTCTGAAAAGGACTTTCTCAGATGACTGATTTCTGCACTTCTTTCCCGTTTCCTGCAAAACCTTTCTCCAGAAACTTCAGCAGCTATAGCTACTGCTGATCTCATACTACTTCAAGCTCTTGTTTCTTCTCAGCCTCTTTCCATTTGGAGACAGGCTCGCTTGGCCTGCAAGCTTGTTCTTGGAGAAATGCCTACAGAATGATGTGACTCTGCAAACCTGTTCTGTTTTCTGGCTCCTAAGCTGAACAATCACATTCTCCTGTGGAAGACAGCAGCAGGAGTCACACTCATACTGGCTTGCCCTTCATATAACAAAAAGAGCTTTTTCCTGTGAGATATTTAAATCTGTGTGAGCCCACAACAAGGCATGTTTTTCAAGGTTGTCTTACAACAGTGAAAAGAGCAAATGCTGAGACTGATCCATTTCTAGTGAGTCCTTTAAGATTTGGGTTTTGATAAATGACCCTTACAAGATAAACACAGCTATTACTAGATTTTAGAGACCATTGCCCAAATAAATTTCTTGAAATTACAATGTTGTATTTCTTTTAGTTGTTCACAATGAACAAACTTTCAGATTTATATTAATCTTGATTACAAGAATTACCTTATCTATGGCTTTATTGCAACAAATGTATTTTATAATGCCGTAATTTATCACATTCGTTCAGGCTCAGAACTTGCTATCTTACTGCTCTGTATTTTGTTGTTGTTTTTTAAGGCACATTCTTCTGTGGAAAAGGCTGGCTTGATTTCTCTTGTGAAGATGAAATTTCTGCCTGTGGATGAGAACTTTTCCCTTAGAGGTGAAACTTTGAAGAAAGCCATAGCAGAAGACAGAAAGAAAGGCCTAGTGCCCGTCTTTGTATGTTCAGTTTTCTGATTAAGAGTATTAATTCAGTGTTGTATTCTTAATGTCAACATAAGAAATATCTTAGATATAGCTTTGCTGTTAAAATGTTAAAATGTTTTCATTGAAGGTGAAAATGTGTAGGAGAACTTACATTTTATTGAAATAAAACATTTTGATTTCATTTTAACTATATTGATAGCTTTTCAAGTTTTTAAGCGCTGCATCCATTTATTTAAAAAAAAAAAAAAAAAGCCATCTGAATAGTCTTATTTCATTCCAGGTTTGTGCAACTTTGGGTACAACTGGTGTCTGTGCTTTTGACAGTCTCTCAGAGCTGGGTCCAATTTGTAAGTGTCATTTATTTATCCCTTTTTAAAAAATAGTTATTTATCCCTTTATTTCTGAGAATTCTGTTGTAGACCCAACTCTACATCAGTCATCATATGTGATGAAAGTCAGAATTCAGTGTTTTTGTGGTTCTGGTTCCACAGCCTTAAAATAAAACTAGATTTTCTATTTCTTGTCTTGCATTTTATTTTGTTGTCAACCTGTCCACCCCCTGCACAAGCATATGCATGCCTATAAGAGAGGAAAGTACTAGTTTAATTTAGGAGGTACTTTAATTCATTGTATAACAACAATTTCAATTCCAACAGGTGGTGCGGAGGGACTCTGGCTTCATATTGATGCTGCATATGCAGGAACAGCATTTCTGTGTCCTGAATTTCGATTGTTCTTGGATGGAATTGAGTATGCGGATTCCTTCACTTTTAACCCTTCTAAATGGATGATGGTTCATTTTGACTGCACAGGATTTTGGTGAGTAAAGGCAAAGCAGAAACAACACCAAAAGGATAATAAGAAAATTAAGTCTTTCCCTGCACATTTTTTTTCTAAATATAGTTCATTCTACAATTGATAGGGTTAAGGATAAATACAAGCTACATCAAACCTTCAGTGTTAACCCCGTCTATCTCAGACATCCCAATTCAGGAGCTGCTGTTGATTTCATGGTAAGTTTTTAATTATGTTTATGTTTTAAATTCCCATAGAATGGTCAAATGTTGACTGAGAAATTCCTCTGAGTTATTTTTCAAGTGGTCTTACTACTTAAAAACATTAAAGTCATGCAGAGATCATGAGTAGATTAATTAATAAAGCTTTTGGAGATTTATAGAGATTGAAGTACATTTTTTACACAGGCGGGGATCTAGCCTGGCCTTTTTAGTTAGAAGAATCATTTTGGTACCCTCTATTGTTTGCATAATTCCTATTGGTGGCATTTTGAATGATTTTTCTTATATTTCTGCTATGTGATAAAATGGAAAAAGGAATAAGCAATGTAAGCAGTACGCTCTGAAACAGCTGTAAAAGGAATTACATTTTCCTGTGATTAAAACATACTGAGATAGGAGAACTGAAGCATTTCACTTTAGATCCATCTTAAAGCAGATTTCAATACAGTAAACCAAGAGAACATTCAACCGCCAATTGTTTCTGCTATGATCTCACCCACGTCCTGAAAAGATGACTGTTTTCTTGAAATCAATGGTGCTTTTCACTAGCAGTGTGTGTAGAGAGTGGAAAGAAATAAATCAATGAGTCTCTCTTGTGGTTAAATAGGACCTTGTATGTTATTGGGTAGCTCCTTAGAAGTAGCTTTTGTCACTCTTTTCCATACAGTAGGTGATATTTTCTCTGCAGGAGTTCTTTCCTGCATGAATTCTTACTATTTACATGGGAAGATGTTCAGGATGGCTTTTAAATATACAAATTATACAAAGTGAAGTGAACACACAATCCTAAATTGTAAATAGACAGATCACATCTCAAGGTAATAACAGTCTTTGACTGTAAACAAGTCGTTAATTGCAATATGCTGGAAATCAACTGAAAATTCTAAGCATATCCATAGATTAACACCTCACTTCTAGATGAAGGGGAATAGACAAAAAGTTTTGTTTTGCAAATAATTGAAAAAGATTTAGACATAGGATTTTCTTGATGGCTCTCTTCTAGGCTTACCTATGTTTCAGTAATGTGAAATTTATTCTGTCAGTAAAGATTTCTGAGTTGAGCACAGATCTGAAGCAACAGGCCGTGTTCGGTGTGGGGACAGTCCTTCTGTTGCTTCTGCTTTATTGATATGCTCTTGTGTTTTCACAGCACTGGCAAATTCCACTGAGTCGTCGATTTCGTTCTTTGAAGCTGTGGTTTGTGATTCGGTCATTTGGGGTGAAAAGGCTTCAAGCTCATGTTCGGCATGTATGTGCATTAGCAGTGCAAGCATAAGTGTGTTATGTTTCATTTACCAGTAGCTGAGTTTCTGAAATTCAGTCATGCGAAGATGAGTAACAGAAATTCACTATGCGTGCTGATTTTACCCTTCAGTAACATGTAAAGATGTACTGTGTTGACAAAGCATTTCCTGTACCTTTCTTGGAAGCAATGGGCAGTGGAAAGCAACTTGATAAACCAATGCACATCACTGAGTAAGTTTTATAGAGTCTTTCTTTGAACTGAAGTGGTAGCTGTTTAGGAAGCAGGATGTAGTGGATGGCTGAACACTATGGCTGCTATGAAACTTTACAGGCTTAAGTTTTCAATGGAATGTAAATAAAAGAGATTATATTGTGAATAAATAGTTGCTGCAACAGGACTTTAATCAGGGAAAAGAAACATTCAAATTTCTAACTTTATTTGAATTCTATATCTAGCCCAGGTACTCCTGATCACTGTCAAGGATTTGGGCAAATAGAGACAGCATTAACCATTCCTAGTTTTGTTGTCAGTCTTAGCTTTTGCTACCATGCATGAAATGAAATCCTCTTAGGGAGGATTGTAGTTCTTTTTTTAACAACTCAATTTAATGTCTTACAGTGAGTTTGTGATAAACTAGTTATAACTGCTCTTTTTTATTGTCTTTTTTTTTCCTCCTAACCATAGGGCACTGAAACAGCCAAATTCTTTGAATCTTTGGTAAGAAGTGATCCACTGTTTGAAATTCCTGCCAAGAGACATCTTGGACTGGTTGTGTTTCGTTTAAAGGTAAAAATTGGGACGTTTGCATGTCCTTTTGGAATAATTTGACTACAACTGTTTTCTCCATAGGCATTAAGAGCTATGAATAAGCTTTCACGTAAGATTTGTAATCCTGAAAATCTTGCAGATATTTGGATGACACTGAAAATTTTAACAGTTGTGTGTTTTTTTTTCCTATCCATATTTAAAACAGGGTCCCAACTGGCTGACAGAAAAACTCCTGAAGGAACTGAGCAGTTCTGGCAGGCTCTTCCTTATTCCAGCAACCGTTCATGATAAGTTCATCATCCGCTTTACTGTAACATCTCAGTTCACAACCAGGGAAGATATTCTGCAAGACTGGAACATCATTCAACACACTGCAGCCCAAATCATTAGCCAGCATAATGAATTGCATCACGTCAGTTCTGGTGATGAGGCAAAAATCCCTAATCCAATATCTGAGCCTAGTTCTAGTGTTATTAGTCGTGCTTCTCAGCTCTATATAGAAGAAGGAAAATACAAAATACCTTCCAGAAAAATAGTAGGTCAGCCTAAAAAGTTAGAAATGAGTCCCAGTACATGTGTGATCAGTCAGCAAGTGGAAGGTCAAGGGGATCTAGATGATTGTTTCCCAGAAGATGTACAAGATGTTACCAAACATAAGTTAACCTCTTTCTTATTCAGTTATTTGTCTGTTGAAGGCAAGAAAAAGACAGCGCGATCGCTTAGCTGCAACAGTGTGCCAGTGACTGATGTTCTTGAGCAATGTAATCCTAAGGCAACAGATACTGACAAGAAGGAGCCGCCTCATGCAAATGCCAGAATTCTTTCCAGGCTGCCTGAAGAGGTGATGATGCTCAAAAAAAGTGCCTTCAAAAAATTGATTAAGTTCTACAGTGTCCCAAGCTTTCCGGAGTGCAGCATTCAGTGTGGTCTTCAGCTGCCTTGTTGCCCCCTGCAAGCCATCGTTTAACAAATAAAAGAGATTGATGCTTAAGAGCTGTCTAGGTAGAAAGAGAACCAAAGTTTGCTTATTCATATGCAATACTACATGTGATTTTCTTCAATATGCATATTGTGGTAACAACCTCTGAGGAAATTCCTGTGCTTTTATTGGTGGATAACCGTGTGTATTTATAGATTGAAGTGTCAAATAAACCTTGTAGACATACAACATGAAACTCTGGTTTGTAGACTGTGGTAAAGAAAATGCTAACTTCTGCCTAATAGACCACCCTTTGCTGATAATCGTAAACTAGAAACATTTTGACAAAGTATGTTGGTCTCAATTGGGTGTTAAAAATTCCATTCTCTTTGCACTATTTTTTTTTTTTTTTTTTTTTTTTAATATCTTGCCTTAAACTCTCTAGATTGTTGTGAGGTTCGGTGTGCGCAGACAATGCCAGCATCCCTTCTGCATTGTGAAAAGAGGATGATGTGACCAGAGATTTTACTATCCATTAGTGCAGTTTTTCAGCTCTTGAGTTTAAAAACAGCAACCCCGCCATTCCATCTGCACTAGTCAGCTAACAGCGCATAGGAGGCTTTATGTAACCGTGTTTCAAGGAAACAAGAATGGATTTGGCCTAAAATTTTGTATGTGTGTCTGTCTCCATCTGACTAACTCTGAATTGTCCTAGTGTGTTCTGTTTGCAAAACTAATTGAGGAGGGGCGGTACCTACTTACATACTTTTTATTTAGAGTGAAGAGCAGGACTGGACAGGTCAACAGTCAGAATTAGTCCTCTGGAGATTTGGAGGATGACAGCAGCAATGCACTGGAGGATGGAGCACCCTTGCTGTAGAACAGGCAGCTTAGGAAAGAGAAAACTCAAGAAGAAAGGAGCAAAAAGATTTTAGGTAAGAAATAAAAAGGAAAACTAAAATCAGGCTGAGATATATCTAGATAAGTTCTATTAAGTTAATCTTACATTCATGGTTTATTTCAAATACCAATATTTGCTAATATTAAGAATTAGAATTTCCTGGCAAGGTTAGAATAACAGATCCCTTAAAATGCGAATATTATAAAACATGGATTTTTGGACATGCTCACAATCTGAAGTTGTGGGTTTTGTTTTTTTTTTTTTTTTTGCTGAATTATAAATGTCCTGAGTTGTGTGCATATACAGGTTTATTTTGTCACCCAGAAAATAGAAGCAATCTTTAACGACTGCTTTATTGAAACCCTCATTCTGTAGTTGTACTTTATGCCACTTAAAAGTTGCTGCAAATTCAGTAGCACTCTGCAAAACAAAATTATAGCTCTGTTTATCAATGTCATCATATAACTGGAGAAATTAAATTAAATTTTCTAGATTTAAAGAGAATTGTATTAAAAAAAAAATAATAATCCATACAGTGCAGAAGTTGAAACCTTACTAATAGATATCTAAACCATCTGCACCCATCAGGTAATAATTGAACTGTTGAATGTGTGGACCAGTAAATCTGAATGCAAGAAGAACTGGTAGGAGAAACACTAGTGAAAGACTTATTGCCCTATTTAAATAAGGCAAGAAAACACTTGTGACATTACTTGTGCAGTTTTCAACTTTTAATCAGAAAATATTAAGGCTTTAATCCATCATTTTTCTGGTACTAAAACTCAGTTTTAAATTTAGTATTTAAATTAAAAGTAAGATTTTCAGACTACTAATAAGGTACATTATCAAGTTCTTAAGGATTAATATTTAGATTTAGGTTGGATGTTAAAGGGAAGTTCTTTACAAGGAGAGTGGTTAGGCCCTGGAACGGGCTGCCCAGGGAGGTTGTGGATGCCCCATCCTTGGATGTGTTCAAGGCCAGGTTGGACGGGGTCCTGGGCAACCTGATCTGAATGTGTGTTTGGTGGCCCTGCTGGGCAGGGGGGTTGGAACTACATGATCCTTGAGGTCCCTTCCAACCCGGGTGATTCTGTGATTCTGTAATATTTCTTGACTGTTGCAGCCTCTGTGTAGACTGCTGACTCTATAGGAAGTCTCTGATGGAAGTCAGTGCTACTAGCTTATCTGTATCTTGTTTTCAGACCAAAGAGCAGTAGAATTTCTTCTCAGAAAAGAGCAAAAAAAATGGCAGTTGAAGATTGGGCAAGTCTTGTGCTTGATGTGGGTTAGCAAGACAAAGTGCTACCTTGACTGATTAGTTGCTTTATATAACTCAAACATTTAAATGTTGGTTGAATGATTTGGGGTACCAGCAGCTTCGTGTTATTCCACTTGGGTAATATCAGCGAATATACAACCTTTCTTGAAGGAGCAATATTTATTTTAATTAAATACCCTAAGAAATAGCACTAGAGTGACAATCCTGCAATATTTTTCTAACTCAAATTTAGAATCAGTTTAGAACTTGGCTATTTCTTCACCAATACAAAACAAATCTAAAGCTTCTTGTGCAAAAGACAGCTCTGTTTCAAGCTTTTATTTGTGCATGGATATTTATTTTGAAAAGAACAGTCTGTAGTGGGAACTGCATTAAAGTGAGAAAACAATGCTATCATTGTAATTAAGGAATGCAACTGGAAATATATTTTTCACTGAGACCTTTCTGATTCTGTATGTTGAAATATGGTCTGTTTTCTTCAAGCAGCTTATTTTTTCCAGTCCAAACTGAAACATCTGAACACAGTTCTGTGTTCATACTGGTAAATGATAAGAGCAAATGAGAGAATTGCTAGTATAGTTAAAAATTCCTTAGTCCTCATAGAAAAGAGAAAACACAATGCAGGCAGACGTATAACAGCTACTTAGATACTCTTTTTCCCTTAATCCTCATAAAATGGAGTCTTACGTAGTTTGAAAAGTGAGTGTTAACATGCCTGTAAGAATTTCCTCCATTAAATTTGAAGTTTTCCTTTAGTTGAATGCATGCCGTTCCTACTCTGCCTTCATAACCTGGAGGAATCTGAAGGAATAATGCTATCCAGTAACTTCAGGATAACCTCTGTTTCTTGGGTGGTGACGTTGTTAACAAGTGAGTCATTTTAGAAAACAGACCTTCAGTTAGATATCCAAATGATTTCTTCTTCAGGCTTCAGCATGCTAGATGCCAAACTGTTTTCAAAGCCTAGCACTGGAATAGTAGGTGGCAGATATTTTGAACAACTTTGGAAAAGCAAGTCTCAGTATTCAGAAGTACCTGCAGCAGTGTTTAACTGTGCGTGGGTGTTAATTTACTTCATAATGCAACAGGGAAAATCTACTCTTATTTGTTGTGCTGAAAGACCTATCCATGCAGATAGAGGGCAGAAAGGAGTAAGACCCAGTTTATCGCCACATGAACAATTAATTAGATGCTGCAGGGTTCAGTACTTCAGATTTTTTACTTCCCTACGTACCAAGAGGGCTTCTTCATTCCCCTTCTAGTAACTGAGGCTTGGGACAGAAACTTCTTGTTGTTTTTACAAATTTCTAGGATTTTAGATCATGCAAGTAAATCAGATGTGAGTATGCTGCATACCCATGAATGACATTATGGTTATTTCTGTTATGTTTCTGTAAATCATTTGAGAAGGACAAGAACTAAAGTGCTTGGCTAAAGCAACTGTGTGGAAACACAATATTCTTATACAGAATTTCACATCAGAACCTCACAGCTATTGAGTTTTTCCCTCAAAACGACCATAACTAATTTGAGCCTCCTGCTCAGAAGAGGCTGTAGCAATGCTGTTCTGTTACGCTGCAAAAGGCTTTCTGAAGATGGGATTTCCTATGCAACGTTCTCTCACTCAGTTATGCTTTTGACTTTTGTATGTGGGCTCTGGCATTGGTTCTATAACGCTAGCAGGAAATCATAATCTGTGGACTGGAGAGCTAAAAGTCTCAGGTTAATTGGTCATGAAAATGTCCTAACAGCATTTTGAGGGACTTTTGACCACCTTATTGTTTAGGACCAAATTTTTTGGAAGCATGAGTTGTCACCCAATAAGTATTTGGTTTACTGGCCGGCTTTTCAGAGCACATTGTTCAACTGAGATATTCCTGGGATGCACCTTTTCCACCTTCCTTCAATTACAAGCCCTCCTGAACATTTTCAGCTCTGTGTAGGTACTGATTTAAGTCACATGCTGGCTATCTTGTCGAGGTGATGTCACATTTCACACACGTTAAGCACAGGCAGTACTTAACGATGCTCAACCTGACAATGGCAACTAGAATTCAACAGGAATTATGTTGGTGTTGCTAGGCGTTTGGGTAGCCTCCAAAATAAAATACTTACGAGTTCCTATTATTTTCTCTAATATTCACTGAACCCTAGCTGCGTGTGTCTAGAATGTTCATTCTAGGTACTTTTGATTTAGCACTAATATTTGTTCCCTAAAGACTTCAAGCAAAGTCCATCTAGGAAATAGTCTGTGCTGCACACTGGGCCAAACTAGTTTTCTTCATTAATCCCAAGGGATGTATGTTAGTCCACTGCTAGATACAGCTTTATTTCTTCAAGCATTTCTCATTATCACAGAAGTTTAATAGGCAGTTAACTACCAATTAATATGTTGCTTTGTTTTTATGACTGCAAGGCGGGCAGGCAGCAGTGTGGGTGTGCTGGGCCTTGGCCTGCTATGTCTGCCCATGCCCGCAGACCCTGCAGTCAGGCTGTGTGGTAATGGAAAGACACTCACAGTTTCAGTGGGTGACCTATTAATGAGCTTATGATTTCCCATCTATACTCCCCTCCACAGTATCCTCCTTTCCAGCTTTCATCCTTCTGATGATTCTGATGAAACACAGATACCTTTCTGTGATATTTCCACATTAGTTGACGTTCACCGAACTCCTCCGTTTTCCTGCATCAGTGTCTTCCATGGGATGACATCTCAGTGTCAGGAGATTTCACTGGGGAACATTTTGGAGAAGTGGTTTTGTTCCCAAATTATGAGGTTATATTATGTTATTTTCAGCAGAAACATCCACTAATGCTGCTGAGCGTGGGTGTGCAGAGGCATCAAGCAAAAATGGCAAGAGAGCAGATTGCTACCCGTTGGTGAGTTGCTGTTTTTTAATAATAGTAATAAAAAGTGTACAAGTGAGTAGTGATTTACAATGTTAGAGAAACTGACTCAGACCTTTCCCCTTAAAGTTGTCAGAATGTTCCTAATATTTGCTGAAGGTATTGTCGGAGCTCCTAAGGAGAAGATCATTCTATTTTTGGTTGGGAAAGTGGTTAGTGCTAACAACGT